GGTATTTATTTTAAAATGTTGACTTTTTTTTATTTGTTTTCGATAGAGAATTGTTGGTTTTTTTTTTGAAACTTACTTTTTTCTTTCAAGAAAGTAAGATGAAACAACTTTTTGGATTTGCTCACTCAGAGGCACAAGCTCAAATAAATCAATCAGTTTTCAATGAAGACGAGTAGAGTGTGAATTTCAACTTCTATCCATTAATATATAGCTCAAGAAAAACGACGCTCAGAGCGTATTTAACCAACTGTTGTAGTGATCATTGATAACTTGAAATAATGCGAAAAATAAACTGTTCTATTTATTTTCATATTGATATTATATTGTATGATTGTGTTGCAGCAACAAATGAGAGAAAAACGATACTATATTAAATACAAGTTCTTATTGAATGATCTTGAAATGATTTATTCCGAATCAAGTATTTCTTATAAGTATAATGTAAAACTTAATAAATTAGTTCTTATGTATTTTAGACAAAGAACGATTTCATACATTACACGCCATTCCATTGATTGATACGAATTTTTACAAGTGTATTTATTCAGATGATGCTCAATTAATCGAGTAATATATTTTATTTTGATTAAAGAAATAGTTTAAGATTCACGTTAAATTTTATGTTTTATTAAACATGTAATTCTTTAATAAAAATCAATTCATCATATATATATATATATATATGTAAACTAGATATTCTTATTATATTTTATTAATTAGTTGGCGTATTGCTGTTAAAATAGCACAAATGGCTGAAGTTGAATTATCAAAAATAATTATGACTAAAATTATAAATCATCATGAATCAGTTCCATTATTTTCTTCAATAATGATAGAAGTAATCAATCGAATTAATCTATATTGTAAAATCTTTGTTTTATTTTATTAATTTGATTTGTGTAATTGTATTTTAGTTAATATATTTCCTCCTCATACGAGTATCGAATCTCATATCTCGATTAAAAAATTATCTTTAATTATTATGCATACAAAAACATCGATCGAAACAGGTTAGTTAATTTATCTTCATGAATCATTTTATCTTATTTTCATATTTTGTATTTTTTTGTTTGTTATATTAAAAAGATATATCCTGTCATATATTGAAGACAAGACATGAAGATGAATATAGTAAATCAATAAGTATTATATTAAAAAACTTATCAATGATACTTCATTCATCTTTAGTATCAATCCAGTAAGATTTTATTGTCTTATTTTAATTAAATTAACATATTATTCTAGATCATCTTGGCCATTTTACCAAAATAATGTTATTGAATTATTATATTCTGACACTGATACGAAACTATGATTAGTTTTTCAAATTTTTCTATTCATTATCGGTTGTCTGTAATAAGAATAATAACAAGTTTTCATTTGGATAAATATATAATACTTCAATAAATATTAATACACATTAACTGAATCACTTTTTATTAACTGTAAATTAGTCAATTATTTTAAATATGATGAACGTGGTTCAAATTTGATTTATTCGTTTTTTTTACTTCAATAGAATCACTGAACTTAGGTTTTTAAAATTAGAGTTTATTGAGATTCACATTCTTTCTAGCTAAACTCAAATTAAGATGACTTTCCATTATTACAAATGCACATCCTCTACCTTGAGGTGTTGGTTCTATTCTTTTGTTGAATCACACTTACGAACTTTTCTTGTCTATGTTTGTTGTCTTGAATATTTCAAGATTAGAAAGTTACACTGAATACTTCGTTTTGTTTATCTTTTTCTTCGTTCTAAACAACAGAACGACAATATTATCAACCAGCTATTTGACTGTCTCTGAGAATTGCTGCATATGTTGAGTTAATCGCCTAAACTAGTGATTTTTGCCGATTTTCAGAGAACATTGCGCTTATCCAAATAACATTTGTGATGATGAAAGCTAGTCGTAGTATTTATACGTAGGACTATGACTACGTCTCCATATGTATATAATTATTGCTGACTAACATGAACATACATGTTTCTCGGAAATGACGAACGAGATGATTTTCTTCTTTCTAATAAGCAGTTAATGATACAATCTTTTTTCTGTATAAAATATGACTTACTGTTTATTGAGATAGTCATGCATTTAAATGAAGGAAAGGAATATTTGTCGTTTAAAAAATCAATACTTAATCTTGAAAACTGTTGCAAAATTGCGGATTAATTAGTAATTTTTTTTATTATTTAAAAAATGATGGATTATTTGCCAAAAGTGACACGATTTTAAGGACATAAAAGATGATTATTATATGACGGTTCTGACGAAAATTTCTATTCAGTTATTCAAATAATTGATAATATAAGCATTTATTTCCTTGGTCATGAATGATTAATTGAAAAAATTTTATAAATCAAATCAGGAAATAAAAGAAAAATCGGTACACTTTGAAGACACAAGAGTATACCATGAAAGTATAGAAAATCGATTTTTTTTTTGCTTAAATCAAGTAGATTCAACCACAAATAGAAACTAAAAGTATCAGATAAATTATACTATAGAGAAAACCTAAGTGTATAATCTTTTTCGTTAATGGAAAAAACTACTGAATTTTTTCAGTTATTAAAGCAATTATTTTTTTGCTTTTATATAACTATCAATGAGACATGAAGTACCATCATTAGTTATTTGATAGTCTTCAGGCCATATCACGTCCGAGATTACTAATTCTTTCATAAGTAAGTTGTTGACAATTTAAAATACTTGACCAATTTATAGTTCCACCATTAGATAGAACAAGTTTAGTGTACCATTTCTCTATAGATTGCTTTAAAACCAACGCATAAATAATTATTATTTTATATGCTGTCATATCATTTGGATTTAACCTACCAACTAGCCAAACGTCTTTATACTCATCCCAATTACTATATTTATAGTTGTAAATAAGAGGTATTTTATTTGTTGTTAATTTAGATACATCAAGATGAATGTGTAAGCCAGCTAACCGTGCATCAGGTATGCTTTCATATAAAAGAACAGCAGTAAATGACGTACTCATATGAGTATACTAATATCAGAAAGACCTTTTTCCTCTATCTGCTATATCAATATGAAGAAATTCAGACTCTGACGGGTCTTGAAAATAATACAGTGTGGCATGACCAAGCGTCACAGAATTTCATTTTTTTACATTATGATACCTATATCTCATCAATAATCAATGCAAACTCTCTAAAATTTTTATCATAGATACAAACTATTCATCTTTTCGAAAACTTAACCATAGTTTACATTGGTTGTAATGCTTGCTTTACTGTCAGAAAATTATCAGTTTTATTCAAGATAAGCGTTGTCAGGCGTTAAAATCATTTATTTTGAAAACAACGCAAATAGATGGTATTTCAATATCCGAACTGATTTTTTCATTAAATAGTAGTCTTCCAAAAGTATATTGATTTGCATCTCATTAAAATTTTATACCTACCTTCGCAAGAGTAGATGAAAACTCAAGGGAAAAAAATTAAAAGCTCTAGAAAAATCTAGTAACAGTCTATCAAAACAACGAAACACGACTGCAACAAGACTTGTGATCAACATTTTTACAGTTTACTTTAGTATTCTTCTGATAGTAGCTGTCTTCGTTGTTCCTTATGTGATTAACTAATATCTCAGTCATCGTATGAGAAGCTAGGTGGCCTACACGGTTCACTAGAAGTATTTGCAATAAATAACGCTAATAAAAGTTACTCTGATAATCATTGTTTCTTCTTTGCATAGTTATATATTTCACAAAAAAATTGTCTGTTTGGTGTATATCTCTTTACTTGTTGAAAAACTCGTCTGCTCTTTGTTGTTATTAATAAAAGCATGATCTTGATTTAAAAATGTCAACTATATATTATATCGTATTCATCTGCGATTTTCAAAACAACTCACATAAGTATTGTGATATTATTCATAGCGTAACAATTAAACATATCAATAAAAATAATATAATGTCAATGTTACCAATTGAAACTATGTACTCAACACTATATTTTCTTAATAGCAGCGCACGCTTCGATGATATTAAAAAGTACTTTGCTGATGGTAGATAAAAAAGAACTCATCAGTACAATTTTCACTGAAGCAAAAAAAAATACAGCTAATCAATTTGTACTTAGAACTAGACTATGAGTTTTGAAACAAGTTTTTTAGACGAAACCTACACGGTTGTACTGAAATGTATACCGGAGTTCTATCGTTAGTTTCTAGTATATGGTCATTTTAGAAATTATGTTTGAAGGTATGGTAATATGATGATCTTATTTATGAAATGTATTCAATGCAAATTTCCGAAAGAACCATTTGATTGAAATTTTCTTTTGATTCTCTTGAGTGTGAGAGTCTTTTATCAAGGAACCTTTCTGTGTCTTACACAAGCAAAAGAACGTCTGAATGAATGTGTACCGATGGACTTGCAAATTAGTACGGATTTCTTTTTTTGACAACAAAGTCACACAAAACCTTAGAAAAATAATAACGTTGATTTTTCTCATAGGAACTCTAATAAGTAAATATTTTCAGTTCAACACATTTGGACAGTTTGAAACCGAGTTTCATTTCATTGAAAAATTTATTTTGACTATAGGCTTTCGTCGAATGAAATCGATTAGTTCATATCACTTATTTTCGGCTTTAAGTCAAAAATTTGAGAAACCGTATCATATGTAAAAAGAATATTTTGATATTGTTTGTTGACTTGATTAAAAAAACAATCGATTAAGCGTTTACTTTTATTGAATATCTTATTTCAATAACAATTAAAATGGTTTTTAAAATGGCAAAAACAAAGAAAAACTTGACGATAGATATGTTAGCTTCTCAATAGTATAAACGAGATTTATCTTCTCTCATTTGCTCAAAGATTTAGTAAAAAATGGAATCATATTTCTCTTAGTGAATTAAATACACAATAAGAAAAAAGAATTTACAATAAAGACTGTTCAACAGTAGAACAAGCTAAGAAATAAAAACACCGGTAAAAAAAATAGCACCAAAATAAACCTAGAGTGAATGAAGATGATCCATAGGTGCATTTGAACTTGTTCCACTGCTTACTTTGGTTAATTCATTTAGAGCATCTGTTACCTATTACAAAAAAAAATTATTTATTTATGTATTATTTTCGTGATATCAAGACAAACATTTTTTAATGCATTATGAGTTGATATTAAAACAGAACGAAGACCAGTTAATTTCGCTTGATAATATTCTTCTTGTCTTTTTAATAATAAAGACCATTGATATTCTTCTTTTGGATACCTAATCATCATAATTTTATAATTAAAATTATTTTTTAAATGAATTTTGTTTTTTTTTCTCTTACGAATATCCTTGTGACCATAATGGAGAATTTTTTGAAAGACGATCAGTCATTTGATCGATTTCATTTAATTTAATGCATAAAAATATATTCACACTAACAAGGATTAATATTCTATTTAGTAGAAAAAAGAAAAACAACAAATTCAATAAGAAATTTTTTTTTTATTGAAAAAATATGTAAAATACGTCTTATTGATACATACATTATTAAACAAAATGGAACTAACAAATGGTTTTTTGACCATACCGAAGAAGATGATGCATCTGATGACGAAGATAAAACTAACGTTCCACCTAAAGTTTAATAATTTATTTCAAAAATTTGTATGAAATAATTAATTATTTGAAAATTATTCATATATCAGTTGTTAAATATTGATCATTTTTTTTCTCTTCTTTTGCATGAAATCATTATTGAAATTCTACATATGCTAAAACTTTCAAGATGATAGACAATCTCAATTTTACCCGATTTTGATTTATTGACATGTCCTATAAAATATAATTGATTAAAACTTCTACAATGGAATATTTTTTATTCTTACAACTAAAAAGAAAATTATTGTTCTAAATAATAATCAACATTGATTATTAGATAAAAATAATCTTAAAATTTACTTTTCCTCTGTCAAATTTTATATATCCATTTTTAATAAGTCATTTTATAGAAAAATAAACTATCAAATTTGAATAAATTATTTTAAATATAATTAAACTAGATTCAAAAAGAAAACAATCATATATTATGGATGTTTCAAATTGATTATTTTCTCTTCTGACATTCTGAAGATCATTATTATGTGTATGAATCTAACTTTCTTGAATAATATTCATCTAGATTTGTTTCATCTGCTGCTACATGTCAATCTTAAAGCTTATCTTTTATGATTAAAAATTATTTTTAGAAAAGTATTCAAAATAAACGTCATTGTCACTGATAATTTCCAATATTGTCTTCGTTGATGTCAACGATAGACAAGGTATTAGTTAATCAAACGAGTTTATATCTGAGAATAATAATCAAATTAAACTATTTTTCTCAAATGTTTTTTTTATTTCGTGAGAAATCATCATAGATTAGTGACTGCGTTGTTCGACACGTATTCAACAAATATTGTATTTAAACCTTGATACTGTGAGGCATAGAATGGCTCTGAACACGGTACTAACAGTTCTTTGTCTCGAGTTACTCACTGAATAGCATAATGACTAAATTGTGATATTCGTCTTTTCTTGTGGCTAATTTATCATGATTTAGTGTGTATGGTGAGTGCAAAAACTCCATGTTAGACTTGTCTTCTATCAAAAACTACAGTTTGAAAAAGGACTTACTTTGAGTGTGATGGATAGGTTCTTTGTGAGTTGTTTGTTTTCGTTGTTGATCTATTGAAGAATCATTGGTTGTAGAATTTAATTTAGTTGATTGTTGTTTTTGTGAATGTTTCCTTTTTGGTTGATTTTCTTTATCTTGTTCAGTATTCCTTGTTGTACTCGAAGATCGTGGACGTTTTGAACAATTAATATCAATACGTTTTACTAAATAATTTATTAAAAAATAATAATAAATATTTGTGAAAAGAAATTTAAAAAAAATTGAGCAAAACACCTGTTGATGTTGATAGTTCGATTCGATTGTCTTTTAAAAAGCAAAAAAAAAATTAATTAGCAGCCAAACATTGTAGCACCAGCAAGTTAAAATATTCAAGAAAAACTTACTCAAATCTGTATATGAATCTTGAAGAGCAGCCATTGCATTTTTTTCGATGAATGCTGAATAAATAGATAAAATATAACATTTTATCTTATGAAAAACATATTTTACTATTTTCCACATACTCATTCTAATATATTTTTAATAAGAAATACTTCAATTCATCTCTCCTTTAAATAATAACTATTATTCTTATATATGATTAGTCTTCTAGGATGATGCCATCAATACAACACTGTTCATTCAACAGAACGCATAAAACAACAATCAAAGTAATATTCTTCTCGTAAAATAGAAAGGAAAAAATCTGATGTTAGAATGGCGATGATGGCATTATTGAAATGAATATCGATATTATTCAATAGGAATATAATCATTTAAATGAATAAAATAAAGAATAAATTCTTACTTACATTTAATAATAATCATTAAACTTTTAAGATATCTAACTTCACAAGTAACTTTTAAATGTGATTTATTAGGTCCAGTTTGTACAAGACAATAACGAGATGCAACAAAAAAAGCATCAGCATATTTAATTCCTTCATTTCGAACTTCTGTATCTACTATATAATGAGATTTTGATAGTTCACATTGAATAACCTATTGATTTTAGATTTAGAAATAAAATAAAATTAAACATCAAAAATTCTTAATTACTTGTTTTTCATTCGAACAAATGGTTGTTGCACCAAAAACTGCAGCAACACCAACTTTATAAGTGCATAAACGTTCTCGTTTTCCTGTTTTTTCATTATGATTCCATTCATCAGCATGATAATCTATAGAAAACAAATTCAAATAATCAAATACATATTGAAAAATAAAAATAAAAACCTTTAATACGACGTGATGCATGATAAGCAACAACAAAATCATTATCACCAAATAAATAATCAAAAAGACGTTCAACCGACAATGAATATGTTCGATCAATTAATTGAGTAGCTAAATGCGATTCACATGGACATTTTGAAAGATAATTTGTTTCTATATTCAAATAATATTTTCTTTTTTGTATAAATATTATTAATGAAAAGAAAAAAAGAAAAGTAAACCTGGAATAATTGACATTGTTATAAAAGAATTATCTTGTTTATTTATATTTGAATTTGATTGACGTATTAGTGTATTTGTATTTGCTTCTTCTCCAATAGGTATTATACCTTGATTATCATCATCATTATAATTATCATCATCTATTTGACGTCCACTATAAGATGATATACTTGAATGATCGTCAATTTCTTCTTTTTCACTAGATTTTGAACAAAGTGAATTTGGTGTTACACTCTATCAACAAATACAAAAATAGAACAATTTTTAGAATTTTTACTCAGTGAAATATATGATTTAATAAAAAAGAAAAAGAATAATAAGTAAATATGATCTATCGTTACATTCTTTCAAGTGAGAGTCATTATTTGAATAAAAAAAAAGCATGAAGGACGACAAGGAAAGAATAACTATTCTCTTTTGATTGGCATGCTCTACAGTTAACAAGATTTCCTTGAAAATATTTTCTATTATCATCATACGCCTACTCATTTATTTAAGTCTAGTTATAAAACAAGATATAAAAATATATATCCAGACAATATTTAATAAACTTAATTCAATACAACAAAACACACAAAAAAAACTAACTAACTTATCATAAAAGATAACTACTGTTGAGAAAGATAGGAGTTATATCTTAAACAATTAAAATAAAACAAATCTTACACAATATTTATCATTTGTTTCGTTTTTCGTTTGTTGTTTTGGAGAATTTTTTTCAGGTGTAGAAGTTTTTGATTGTTTATTATAAGTATCTTCTTCATCAGTTGTCATATCTAAATCATTTCCGTAACATTGATGAATCAAATTCCATAATTGTTGAGAAGATATTGGCTAAAATTTACAAATAAATTTTTACTATATAGACAAAAACAAAAATACAAACTTGATCAATTAAAATACTTTGCCATATTCGATATATCATAGCATAAGTTTTATCACGTGTTGCAAAACTTGCAAAAAAATATTTTTCATTTTTATTTGATCGAATTTCAATTGCATTTGGAATAACTTTAGCTGTTTTTTCTCGTGTTATTGCAACAATATCTTTAAATTTTAAACATAAACTTGTTTCCCATTTAAGAAAATTAGCATAAAAACATAAATAATTTTGTGATATATACATTCGACCTTGTATTAAGATTTCTTTTTGCCATGCACATGAATAATCTTTATTTAAATAATAATTTTTTTTTTTTTGTTTTTAAATATAAATTTATATCAAAATGAATATCTTACCAACAATTAATCGTTCATCATTTGATAAATCTTTAAAAACTTTTCTAAATTCTTCATTTCTTTGACGATAAGTTGATTGAAAAGGCTAAACAATAAATTTAATTAATTAATTATTTAAAAAGAAACACCAACAAAAAACAAACAAAAATCTAAATAGCAATTAGCATTCTTAAAGCATTGCATTCGTCTTTTCTTTTTTTTTTTTGTTTTCAATGTAAGAATCTTGAGAAATATTGAAAAAAGCAAAAAAGAGAAATAAATTTCCATATAATCTTAATTTTAATATGAAAATTAGCAATGTGAAAAATCTACCCAATATTTCAGTATTGAAGCTGCTGTTAGAAAAGCATTTGTAGCTGTTGGTTTTACTGAACATATTTGTTGTGAAGCAATAGGATAGAATTGATTGTTTATGTTAGTTGACAGTGGAAAGCTGATAGATTTTGTTGAACGATTTACTTGAATAATTCGACGTTTCATTTTTTCACTTGAATATTTATAAATAATTGAAGATTTTCTTATTCGATCTGAATAACGATATGATTTTGTTCGTCTCATTGTAAATGATAATGATGATAAATGATTAAGATTTTCTTGTAGAATCGTTGAATACCTTTGTTGATTTTTATGATGATGTTCTTTCGAAAAATTTTCATATGTAAATGTATGCGCATTTAATATTGATGCTGATGCATTTGCAACAATATTCTTATGTATTGTATTATTCGATAATGGAATTGATAAATCCGAACATATTTCAATAGTTGGTGAAACTATTTCAAAATTTGAAGATAATGAACTTGATGATGGATCTTTTGATAAGTATGATTTAAGATTATCACCAGATAATTTTTCACGTGATGAACTTTGTTGTGTTAATATTTCATTTTTATCATTTTCAATTAAGAAATTTTCTTTTTCTATACTCATTAGATTCGATTGCATTGGTAATATTTCATTATTGAAATCAGTTTTTATTCGAGAATTTCGAAAACTATTTGAACGAAGAAATAATCGAATTGTATCCATTTAATTTATTATATTAACATTAAAAACAACAATAAAAATTTATTAGATCGAATACCTTTAACAAATAGATTCCAAACACAGTATGATTAATCCATAAAAAAAAACAATTCAACGAGATGCGTCTCTACTGATGTTTCTTTATGTATATTACATTTTTCTTCTTGTTCGTCTTACTTTTTTTTTTCTTTCTCGTTCGATACCCTTTGAATTACAAAAGGCCTAACCATTCTCTCTGTTTATTACATTTGCTGTTTTTTTTCATAAAGCGGTATTTTTATGTAGGAGAAAAATCAAAATAATGTGCGATTATAGACGTAAAAATATTCTCTCATTGTTTTACTATTTGACATTATTATTAACTCATAAAGAGGATTGAAACAAAACTAGAATATATTAATTATATTCAAACATATTTATAAATAAAAATTTGAAATCTCTTTTTCAAAAAAAAAAACAAAAATAAGAAATAAATCGTAATAACTTACATAATACCATGGTTTCTTTTTTTTTGTTGTTGATGATGATGAAGATTTATCTTGTGTTTGAGATGATATATTATTATTTTCATTAATTTTATTTGTATTTATTGATGGTGAACTTTGTTTTTTTGAAGATTTTCGCTTTTTTTCAAAAGATCCATTATTACTCATTGCTGATTCATTACTTGTTGTACTTGTTGATGATGATTCAAGTATGGTTGTCCTTGGATATGAATTTATTGATGATAGATCTTCTAAATTTGCATTTATAACTGGTTCACTTTTATTTCTTCTATGATCAATTTTCCGTTGTTTTGTTTTAAGATATGATAATGATGATATATTAACTTTATCTGTTGATTCATTTATTATTGATTTATTTTCTTCAAATGATATATCATCACTATTTGATGGAGATGATATCACAAACATTTTTACATTTGATGATTCATTATTTGGAAGACTTAAAACATCTATATAAATCAATACATGTTTTTTCTTTCTTTTTGATTTCAAAAAAAAATTTATAACCTGTTTGTTTGTCAGAATTTGCTTCATTAACATCATAAATAGTTCCTGAGAGATTCGATGAAGTATTAGAAGTTTGTGATGATATATTATTTAGTTGTTGTCTTGGACTTGCCGGCAATGTTATTAATGAAGATATGGATGTTACTTGACTAGATTCTTCTTTTGGTGAACATTCTGATGAATAACTATTTAAAATTATTTTTATTTTTTATTTTTAAACAAAACAAAAATCAAATTAATCGAAATGTTACTTTTATTCGAATCTAGTTAACTATTTACATTTACTCATAAGAATGTTAAATAAAGACAAAACAACGATTGTATTCTATGATGAATTTATATTATCATTATTTAAACTAACAGTGAATAATTTTATATTAAACATAGTTATCGAAATCAATCAATAAAGTAGAATATAGTTTATTGTATTTTGAGAACTCTTTTTTTAATTTTTCATAGTACTTTTTTCAATTATAATATGTTAAAATATATATGATTAAGTGGAAAGAAAACGTATCAATCCATTTAGACAATCAAAAAATTTCCTCATTGTAAAGATGATTGCATTTTTTTTTTCTATAACATAGAACAAGGTCAGTATGCCCATTTTTTATATTTCATCAGTTATTTATCTGTTCTGACGGAATCAACTCGAGATTAATTTAAGACAAACAATTCTAATTAGTAGTAGTGAAGCTAGTGGGGAAGCTCAGCTTCATCTTGAAAGTTTTATTTTTATTTAGATTATTAAATTTTCGTCACTAAAATAACTGACTTTGAACAATGAATACAGAGCTTCACTCCTCTTAGACTGAAATCCTCGTTCCATCGCTACTAATAAGTATTCATAGAACATCAATTCATATGAGATTAAGAAAAGTCTTAAAATAATCATCTTTACGAATTATGTTTACTGAGATTCAATGTTACTCACCTTAGAAAAAAATAAATAAATTGGTTTTTTCATATACGAAAAAGAGTAAGTAAAATATATACTATCTATGAACATAAAGTTCACATAAAACATAATCATAGTACTACCGAGTGTGCCAAAAGTCAGTCCTGAAATGACTCTTCATGATTAAACCGATTCACATGAGATTTTCATCATCTCATTGGATATAATCACAATTTTTAATTCATCTAATTTCCCGAATAACTATTGTTTCCAATGCTCATCCTCAGCAGTAGCTCATGGAATGTTGTCTTTCAAAATATCAGCAGAAGACTAATTCATAAACATTGTGCTAAGATCATTATCGCCTCATTACCAATTCTTTTTTACTTAATTTTCAGTGCAAAATAGCATATTCATATATAAGAATCGATGATAAGATGACAACAATCTTTATGCATTAGTTTTTGAATAATGTTTCGAAAGACATAGTTTCATGCCTGATTATTGATGATAGTCATTTGAAACAAAAAATATCGATGAAAATAGACCATAATATTCTAAAAAATAATGAAAATCTTATGTGAATTGGCTTGATCATTGAAGATTTATTCTAATTTTATTTGTCGAATTAGTTTTGTAAGAATCTATATGCAAAAAGGAAATATGAATAGAGAAATTTAATGATTTAAAATCATTTTCAATTAGTCTCAACATGTGATAATAGATCTCATTGAAACGAAAATCTCAATTTAAACAAACTCTAATAATTATCAATGAATTCTGCTTAGTATTTTTATTACCTGTGTAAGCGAAAGAGATTTGTAAGATTAACATTCGATATGATCAATGATAAAATTGTTTCTTTTCAAGACTTTTATCTAAAAAGTTTGATCTGAACCAATTGAATTTAAGTAAATATTGACAAACGACAATTACAATCTATTTCTTTGTTGAGAAAATATTTGTAAAAGATAATATTATTCTTTTTTTTTTTTTTTTTTTTCTTATTCTATTGATCAAAAAAAGAAAACGCACGTGAAATAAAGTGACACGTTTTATTGAATATCTGAATTAAGAATTGATTGTATTTTATATAATTTTCTCACCTTAAATTCGTTCCATCTAAAGAAATAACAGGTGGAATTTGTGACATATTTATCTAAATCTAAAAAGAATCAATTCACAACAAACATTGTTTTTTATTTTTGTTCTCGAAAAGAAAAAAACATTGACATTTCATTTTTTTTTTTTTTTTTTGTTCATTTTTTTCAAATTTAAAAGACACAAGCAGGAATAACGAAAAGAAAAATAAAATAAAGATAAATATATTGAGTTCATTTAATAATAGAACATTTTCTTTTGGTTTATCAAGTATATTACATTGGAGGACGATTTTGTCTAAATGAAAGAAAAACAATATTTAGTTTTTTTAAATAAAAACAAATCAATAATAGAATAAAAGTCTAGCTGAGCATAGCGAAAGCAAATTAAAAATATGAAAAAAAAAAGTAATTATCTCTTTACAAGTTAACTTGTTGTTGTTCTTTGATTATTTTGCATTAGAGCCATTTGATATGGTAATGGATCATTACTTAATTAAATTACAGTTTTTTTTACTATTTATCAAATAAATGTCAATTATCATCGAAAGAAGAAAATCATTTGTTAAAAAATAATTAAACTTAATTTTTTCGAAAAATTTAAATAGAAATTTGTATGTATTTCAGATTGAAATTAATTCAATTCTTTCAGAAATTATTAAAATAAATCTTTATCTAAGATAACATTCAAATATAATTTCATTGAAACATTTATTTTAAAACAATTTTATAAAAAAATTGACTATTCAAATCAAGATTTTTTTTCTATAACAATCTGATTTATTAACATTTTTATCTTCTAAAAAAGAAATTTAATAGGTCCAAAGGATAATGTCAACCCTTTGGACAAATGTTATTTTTCCACTGTTCACATTCAATAAATCATTATATTCACAACAAATATTACAATTACTTTTTCGAGGACGTAATACTATATATAGAGAGGAAAGAAAAAACCTACAATACATGACTAAACCATAAGAGAAAAGAAGACGAACGTAAGTTCACAGGTATAATCCTATACAAGAAAGAGAAAAATCCTTATGACTGCATCTGAAGAAAATGCAGATCATAACATCGATAAAAACTCCAAAACTACTCACATAAAGTGCTTTCATTCTTGAAGTGCTAGAACTAGTGACCGAAGGAAAGAACGAAATCAACTAAAAAGCTAGTCTCTCTCATAAGAGATGAGCTGCAGCGCTAGACCATTCTATCCTCAGTCCTATTCAACTCGTAACGACATTTTCTGATCATTTTTATTTCACTTTCTGTGAAAAATGATGACATAACTGTCAAAAATCGAACATTTTGGAGGAAAAATCTGAACATAACGCAAATTTATTAGAGTTTTTTCCAAGAATTAGTTCAAAAATGTGGACACATTGATAATTCTCTAGAAAAAAAGACTTCGTACGTAAAAAAAGTTATATCATTGATATGTTGTCAACATGGAAATAATTAAAGGATTTATTCTATGTCAATATCGAATATCTTCTACTGGCAATAAAATAAACGAATAACTGATACTTTTTAAAGAAAATATATCTTGTGAGAGATGAACTATTTGTTATTAAAATCGAATACTTTTATTTTTTTCTATTTTATATTTCAGTCGTGAAAAATTTGACAGAATTTCAAATGATATAATATTGGTTTTTTTCTCCAAAAACAAAAAACAGAAATGTTCAATTTTTTTAAAAAGATTTTTTAATCGGTTGTCAATGGTGACAAGTATCTCTACTTTCGAAATTTATTTCTAACGATAATAAAAGATCAACTAAATATTTTATGTTCTTTCTTATATTAACAAAGAATAACAACATTGAGTAGTATTCTGTCAATGATATACTAGAAATATTAAAAAAAAAAACGTTTCTTATGATCTCTATAGACAAAAATTTTCAATTGAATATAGTGAATTGTTTTTATAAATTCTGTCATATTTTAATTGATTTATAGGACAAAAATAATTTTTTTTTAAGTTTAAGACTTAAATGAATTACACAATTAGTTAAGATAATATAAGACGAAACTTAAATAAAAAAAAATTCTTACGTTTTCCATGTTTTATGAAGAATAAAAAAGACGACGAATGTAATCATACAAACAATTCCAACAGCAATATAAGCCCAACCAAGAAATGGATTTTTTCCTCCCATCCATGATGTTGTACTTATTATAAATTGTTTTCGACCGGCAAAACTTATTACTGGATAATCTTTAAAACAAAAACAAATAAATTCTTAAAAAACAAAACACTAAAAATAAAATATTACTATAAGTAACGTAAAGAGTATAGTTTCCTTGTGGTAAACCATTTGCAAATGATCCTCCAGCATTTCTTTCTAATTTTCTATATAATTTTCTAAATGTTGGCATTGCAGCAGTTCGCATCCAAACAATAAAATCTTCATTTTCATAACCAGTATTGTTCTCATTTAATGGATCTAGCTGCCATGCTGTCACTTGCCAATTTGGTGGTCTTGGATGTGAACTAAAATCTATTTAAAAAAAACTCCAGTTCATTCTTCCAAAATTAAAACAAAATAAAGACTTTACAATTTGAAGCATTTTTTGGATTTTTAAATTTGACTGCTTTATCTGTTGACCATGCAATACCAAGATTTGTTAGTGTAACATTTTCTGTTCCTTTATATGATAAATACAATGTATCTAAAGATTTTCATTTAAAATAATATTTAAAAAAAAAAATAAAAGATAATTTTAATAAAATATACTAAACCATTAAATCTTGAATTCGCAATAGCACCACATGGTGCATAATCATAATCAGTTCCATTATTTACTTTTTGATATGGTTGACAATCACTTGCAACTGCACCATCTTTACCTAATAATTGATTATCATCTCGAGAACGAACATAACGACGATGATTTTGATAATAATTTATTAAACCATAATAAAAATACACATCGCCCTAGAAAATTAGTTTTTAAGAAAATGTTTTTTTTTTTCAAATTACAAGTAAACTAACTTCAAATGATTTGTCTAAATAAAAATTGATTTCACAGTTACATGATTGACCAGTATTACTGTATCTTTCTAAAAATTCTGCACATGTGCCTGATGCGGTTGTACTCACACATTTTGTATCAGTATAATCAATATCATATTCAAGTACCTTTTTTTTATAGAAAAATTACTAATACAAACAAAAAGTTAAGAAAAAAAATTCATACTCGCTCGGATGTAACAACAAGTACAATACCAATAGGAATAAATGTTAAACCAATAATTAGAAACACCGGTAATGCTGTGTTAGCAGTTATTATTGGTTGCCATGCTGGTAAACGTTGTTGTTTAAAAGCTGTATCTATTTCAAAAATATATATTAACAATTTAAACTAATATTAGTATTTTTTTATTTAACCAGCTGGTTTTTTGCTTTTTTGTTGTTCACGATCTTCTTCGGTTTCTGCTTGACCTGGCATCTTTTTTTTTTGTTTGTTTGTTTTATTAAGAAAACTTTTATTTCCAACAGAATATGACAATACTAATTATAGTATTGACTTATTTTTATGCATACTTCTAATAAAAAACAAGAACAGAACAAGTAACTAAAGGACAACATCATCGTCTTCATCACTCTTTTCAAAAAAATGATTACTCATCATCATTTTTTTTCATTTTTTTAAAATATTCTATTATTATTTTTTTAACTAAATTTAACGTTATTTTCATTAAATTCGAAAAGAAAACAAAAAGGTCATGTGTAGATGTCACTTGTTGTCGACTGAGAGATCATCTCTGAGAAATATTTATATACGAGCAGTCTTTCCAGAGCTAAGCAAAGACAGTCAACATTTGAATGCGGAAGAGGACAGGCTGTAAACTATTTGAACGATGAAAAAAGTTTTTCATCGAATGTTATGAAAACTAGACAAGTAAGTATGTAATGAGACAATGCTGTGCACGATATCTAACCAAGATCCTGCATCATATTGTTCTTAGGATACCCATTCAGTTGCCTAACTGAAAACTGTCATAATACACATATAACTTAAACTCAGTACTTTTTCTAAGGTAATTCAACCAATATCTATTTTCACCTTAGATTTTTTTCTTTCTTCCCACAGTACATGTTACAGAATTGCACAGACCACGGGTATGTAGCCCTTATAACGTTATAGCATTACCCATAGTAATTTCTTCATGGCAATTAATTTAAAACTCTTAGTATTAATCAATTAAGTGTTAGGTGAAACAGCTTGATATTAATACTAATGATTAATTGATCCACTAATATGTAATATTAAGTAATAAGTAATAAGTTTTAATTTAATTTTAAATTAAGGTAAATGATGCAACCCTAATTATCTGTGTAGCGTATCTCTAATGAACAGAGTGTTATTTTATTCTTTTCTCATTTGCAGATGAAAATAAAAATGTACGATTGAAACACAACTTTACGAATAGATGATTCTTCTGTAGATATAATGTATCTGTGAGAATATCCGTTTAGTATATAATTTAAATTTAACATGTTGATCGTTCATGTTTACTCTATTTTGTATGCTGTATATTATGACTTCATAATGATATGTTGTTCTACAGAACAAAAAGGAAGATATAAAAACAATGACAAAAAAAATCATAATCTGAATTAGTTTAACACTCATTCGCTTACATGCATACACACATATGCGTGTCTATTTGTATCAGCCTATAGCTGTATTTAGGCGAGAACAAAAAAAGTTATCTGAGTATCGTGAAAAACATTTGTGTTTAGCATAAGTTTGTAGCAATAGCACGAATCGTAAGAAGAACTAATTTTCATGTGAATTACCTAGATATTCGTGCACTATTTTTGACAAGGTTCAGTTACGGATCTTTGTTTTTCCAATTGTTAAAAACTTATGATCAGAAATATCTATTAAAAAGTTTGTATGTAAGATAGCTATTCATACTTCTATTTCATAACGTCTTTAGTACCCAGGCAGTCAAGATCGGAAAAAAAACGCGTTTAAACGCATTATTTTAACGTTTTTTTTCGCTTGAAAACGCTTCGAAAAACGGTAAAAGCGCACA